ACCAAACCGATTTCTTTCAGCGATACGTTAAAATATCACAAATCGTATCTAGTCAAAGACATTACCCTCAAAAATTAAGAAAAATTCCCTCATTCCCCGGAAATGGGGGAAACCTCCAAAAAAATTACAAATTTAAAAATCGCTAATTTTCGAAATTTTTAAAAATTTTTTTCTTAAAACTATCATAACTTTTCCAAAAATGACTAAATTAATTTGATTTTTCTTTATAGATACTTGATGTCTTTACCTATCATTTGGTATATTTTTTTTATAAATTTAATCCTTTACCTGCCCACAGGGGGGGGATTTAAAATGACAACTTTTTTACAAAAAATTAATTTTTTCAACTTAACTTTTGAAAGTGATCAAGAATGTCTGACACTTTTATATAAATCTTAAAATAAAGCTAATGTAATGTACATTATTATGGAAAAAAAAAATTTTGGACTTTATTTTGTCTTCACGATGAAAATGGCTACCAAATGCTATTTTTCTGTGAAAATTCTTGATTTTATTTTTTACATTTTACATCAATACAATTTTTATAAGAAATAATATTTATATCCCTCTTGAATAATCAATATTACCCAATTCCAAGTGATTGTGTCGAATTTTCATTCAAATTTTAGTTTTACTTAAAATATTTTCAATTTTTGTTCATTTTGTTAACAGGAACAAAGTATTCTTTGCTTAATCATTTTGAAAGTAAGAATTCAATTATGTATTTGTATTTTCTAGAAGGAGAACGTATAAACGTACGAATTTGTAGACAAATTATGAATAATCAATATTACCCAATTCCAAGTGATTGGGTTCCTACATTTAGTGAACTCTATGTTGGTTTTAAGAAACATGATAGAAATCAAACCGGAATTATCCTTACAGTTTTTTTTATACGCGTCATCGTAAATGTTCTTCCTAATGAAAAAGTACAAGATTCTATATTAAAAAGTTTAAAAGGTATAGAAAATGTTTGCTATGAAGGTGCGTACTAAACTTCAATTAAACATTTCAATTACATGATTTAACTAACATTTTATTTAATTTCAGCATGGTTATTGAAAAAAAGAAAAGACTTGTATGATTGCCATTCTGGTGTGCAAGGTTTAGCAATGAAATGTCTAAATTACATGCTAAAGTAAAAAACAATATTTTTCATTTGTTTTAAAAGTGTTTGTTTTTTTAAATAAATCATATTATTACCAAAACACTTTTAAATTTCTTTATAAAATATATAACAAAAAAAAAAATAAAAATGATCAATTATATAAATCGAATTATAATTATTTAGGTAACTCGAATAAATACTTAAATTATTTTTTAATCAATTGTTGGAATTATCAAAAATAGGTTAAGAAAATAAAAATATTTCTTATTAAAATTAAAGAATTAGAATTTAAATTCAATTTAAATTTAAATGTTTCACCNAAAATATTTCTTATTAAAATTAAAAAATTAGAATTTAAATTCAATTTAAATTTAAATGTTTCACTCAGTCTTAAAATTTCGATCACTGTATATTTTCCCAAAGTTATCCGTATAAATTTGATTTATATAAGAAATATTTTAAACCCAGGACAGTAAAAATTTAATTACACATCTGACTATAATAATTAAAATAATATTATTGCTTAGGCGTTACTACTTTTACGGATGTACATTTTGCGACATTACACATGGATTGTCACAGGTTTTCTATCACAAAAGTATTCAAAATGTTCATAATGTCTTTCGCCACTAATAAAATAAAATTTTAATTCTATGTTCAATAATAAAACCAAAGGTTTGTACTGCGATCTAGAAATGGCGACAAAAGCAACTCGCAAAGGACGGAGTGTCGCCTTGGGGGAGATACCTTTTTCGGCACGACGTCGCTTCGGTGGTGACATGTAGTCGCCAGGACTTGACGATTCGTTATAAAATTCA